ACAGTAGCACAAAATAAGGTGGGAAATGGAGATATGTTGGAACAAGGCTGCTATATTTTACTGAAGTTCAATATGTGTTAACCAAAAGTTGACTGTGATAATTTACAGTGTAAATATTGTCATCCCGAGAGTGACCATTTAAAAACCAGCTTTCAAAATATACAGTTTTTAAAAAAAACCAACAGAGGAATTTAAATAGTATACTAAAAGTTGTTTAACACAGGAGAAGGTAGTGAAGGAGTCACAGAGAGTAAAAACAGACAACAAAATGGCAGCCATAAAGCCAGCCGTATCAATCATGACATCAAGTGTGAGTGAAATAAACATTCCAATCAAAAGTCAGAGATCATCTGTGGTAGTCGGCTTCCAAAGTGGCCTCCAATGATGCTCACATCCTGTGTGAACACCTCCCAAACTGCACCAGTGTTGCTATGTAAGACTAAGAGAATATGGCAGAAGTGGTGATACCAGCTGGGTTATGAGACACTGCAGCTTCTGTCTTGGCTTGCTCTATTGCTGCCACACTTTTCCATCACTGCTCTCGGAGGAGTCAGTAGCTTCTTGAACAGTCCTAGGTAAGTGTTCATGTGACGAGAGACTGAAACTCCTGCCAACACCCACGTGTGTGAGCCCTCTTGGGAGAAGCTCCTCCAATCCCAGTCAAGTCTTTAGGATAGGGGTTGCAAACTTCTCCTATAATGTTGTTGCTGTGTTGTTTAGTTATTAAGTCATGTCCAACTCTTTGCCAACCCATGGACTGCAGCTGGCCAAGCTCCTCTGTCCATGGGATTTTCCAGGCAAGAACACTGGAGTGGGTTGCCATTTCCCTCTCTAGGAGATCTTCCCAATCCAGATTCAAACTGGAGTCTCCTGCACTGGCAGGCAGATTCTTTGCTGCTAAGCTGCCAAGCCACATAGTAAACCCATTAGGAGTTGTGGGTGACCTGAAAAATTCCTGAAATCCACTGGTGAAGCACTAAAGCAGCCAATAGGCAATACATAAATCAAAGAGCATGACTGTGTCCCAATAAAACTATTTATGGACAATGAAATGTGTATTTCACATCATTTTCAGTGTTATGAAATATTGTTCTCCCCCTCCCCCTACTTTTTCCCAGCTATTTTAAAGTGTGGAAATTATTCTCAGATTGTGAGTCTTACAAAAACAGGCATTGGGTGGATTTAGCCCACTGCCATAGTTTGCCAAAACTTCTTTCAGATGATAGCAACTTCACTGATAGTTTGACTGTAGCTTCATGAAAACTCAGCACCACAACCACCTAGTTAAGCCACTCCTGGCCTCCAAACTTCAGAAACTATAAGACAATAAGTATGAATTATTTTATGATGTTAATGGGATAATTTGTCATGAAGCAATAGATAATAATACTCTGTCAGCCTCAATAAGAAAGTCAGACCCAAGCATATGCTATTTGTACTTTAGATCTAACTTTCTAGACATAAAAAAAGTTGAAAGTAAAAGGATAAGAAAAATGCCATGCAAACAGTAACCATAAGAGAGTGAGGACAAAATTGGTATCAATGCAACAGATGTTAAAAACATTTTGCTAGAGACAAAGAAGAACATTTCATGATGATAAAAGGGTCAATACATCAAAGATACACATGTAGGGAATTCCCTAGTGCTCCAGTGGTTAGGACTTGGCGATTTCACCGCTCGGGGCATGGATTTTATCCATGGTCGGGGAACTAAGATCCTGAATGCCCAGAGGCATGGCAAAAGACAAACAAACAAAAAACAGAACCAAAAAACCCCAAACACATGTACATTGATAAGTGACAAAAGCAAGGTGAATAGGTGGAGAATGCTCAATTTTATGCAGGGAGGGGCAGAAAAACTGCATATGCCTGCATTTAGGAGCATAGAAAGGCCTTCCTTGGTGCTCCAGTGGCTAAGAAACTGCCTTGTAATGCAGGGGACACTGGTTCCACCCCTGGTCTGGGAAGATTCCAGGTGCCGAGGGACAACCGGGCTGGTGTGCCACAACCACTGAAACCCACGCGCCCCAGAGCCCACCGTCCACAACAAGAGAAGCCGCCGCAACTAGCGTAGCCCAAGCCCCACAACTAGAGAACAGCCCCACTCACCACAACTAGAGAGCAGCCATGAAGACCCAGCACAGCCAAAAAAGTAAACAAGTAATAAAATATTTGTATATATTAAAAAGGTAAATAAATAATAAGACATATTTTTTAAAAAAAGAAGTACAGAGTTTTAGAAAGAAACACAAGAAATGAAGACATTGGTAACAGAAGTTTCTTCTTATAAAGGAGGACTTTCATATGCACGCTTTATATATTTATATTTTTCTGTTTTGAAATGACAAACACAGAAAGTTGTAAGCACAGTACAAACATTTTTTTTTTTTCCTATACGTATTTGAGCGTTAGTTGCCAATATGCTGCCTGGTCGCCTTCATATACTTTACTGTGTATTTCCACACAAACAAGAACATTCTCTTGTATGTCCACTGTAAGGCCACAGTGGAAAGCAGGAAATCTACGTAGATGGAAAACTACCATCTATTCTGAAGACCCCAACCACATTTACCATGGTGCCAATGACTCCTTTTCACTGCAAACTTGGAAATTTGTACCCTAAGTGTATGTGTGTACATATGCGCTTAGTTGCTCAGTGGTGTCAGACTCATTGTGACCCCACGGGCTGTAGCCCGCCAGGCTCCTCTGTCCATGGGGATTCTCCAGGCAAGAATACTGGAGTGGGTTGCCATTTCCTCCTCCAGGGTATCTTCCTGACCCAGGGATCAAGTCCGGGTATTTTGTGTTGCAGGCAGATTCTTTACCATCTGAGCCAGCAGATCTCCTGTGTGTGTGTGTGAGTGTGTGTATGTATGAGTGTGTGTGTGAGAGTGTGTGTGTGAGAGTGTGTGTGTGTGTGTGTGAGTGTGTGTGTGTGTGTATGTATGAGTGTGTGTGTGAGAGTGTGTGTGTGTGTATGTGTGTGTGAGTGTGTGTGTGTGTATGTGTGTGTACATGCCTCTGGTAGCTCAGATGGTAAAGAATTCGCCTGCAATGCAGGAGACCTGAGTTCGATCCCTGGGTTGGGAAGATCTCCTGGAGGAGGGCATGGCAACCCACTCCAGTATCCTTGCCTGGAGAATCCCCATGGACAGAGGAGTCTGGCGGGCTACAGTCCCTGGGGTCACAGAGTCTGACGACTAAGCACAGCAGGTATATATCCTTGAATAGGCAAAAAAAAAAAGGGGGGGGGGACCCAGGGAATTCACACTTTCCCAGGTCTTCCACTGGGAGATGGGAGCCTTCATTCCATGATTAATCCAGAGACACACTCTCAAGAGCCGGACCTGGGGTTGGGTGACTTCAGCCGAAAGGCCTCAGGGGCAGAAAAATCGGTCCAGAAAAGACTTAAGCCCCGCGCGGCAGGGCTTGGTCTTCCCACCACCCCAGATGTTTCAGGTTCAGTCGGGAACCAGTCCCAGCTTGCTGAGCCTCTGTTCTTAAGCCAAGGCTCAGCAAGTTTTAAACTTCTGCAGAGGACATGGAATTTTCCAGGCAAGAACACTGGAGTGGGTTGCCATTTCCTACGCCAGGGGAATTTCCCAACCCAAGGATCAGAACCCACGTCTCTTACATCTTCCATGGACACCCAAGCTGGGTGCATCCCGCCAGAGGCGCGGCCCCGGACTTTCTCAGGACCCGGCCCAGCCCTCCATGCACGGCTGGCACGCCGCACCCTCCCGGCTCCATCCGCAGGTGAAAACCCCGGCAGCTGCGAATGCCTCGCTGAGGGGGTTGGGGGTGATCGTGTGGTCCTGGCTACCCCCGCCCCGCCCCCCACCAGAGCCCTTCAGTGGCGGCCCAGAGAACCCCTGAATCCAGATAATCCCAACCTGGAGGTCGCGGGGTGGGAGCAGTGGGGGGAGAGTGGGCGTCTGCAGGTAGCCAGCTCCCCCTTTCACGTAAAATCTAGGGTAAGACCGGGTTGGGGGGAGATGGGGGCGCTCGCGGCCTTCGGGTGAGCCCAGGAGGACGAAGTATGTGCACCTACTCGACGTGGGAGACCCGCCCTTCGCGTCCCGCGTCTCCTCCGCGGGGAGGCTGGTGCGCCAGTGCGCTTCTTCCCCGGGGCACAAAGGGCGGAAGCCTGTCCCGACCCGACTGCCAGAAGTCTGGGAGGCTGGCGAAGTCCGATTTGCTTCCGAACGCCTCCCCGCACGAGCCACCTGCAGCCGCCTGGAGGTGGGGGAAGCTGGGGACAGACAAGAAGCTGGGGATCGGCACGGTAGCCTGAGATTCACTCACCTGAGGTCCCCAAGGGACCTGATTGCAGACCAATCAATTGGGGGTCGGGGGAGGGCGCCAAGGGAAGGCTTGTGTATGGGTGTGTGTATGTGCTCAATCGCTCGGTCGTGTCCGAGCTGTCCATGGGATATCCCAGGCAAGTATACTGGAGAGGGTAGCATTTCCCTCCTCGAGGGGATCTTCCCAACCCAGGGATCAAACCCAGGTCTCCCGCATTGCAGGCGGATTCTTCACCAGCTGAGCCGCAAGGGAAGCCCAAGGACACTGCAGTGGGTAACCTATCCCTTCTCCAGTGGATCTTCCTGCATTGGAGGCGAATTCTTTACTGAGTTATCAGGGAAGCCCATAAGGGAGGGTCCCTCCAAACTCTATCAGCTCACCCCCATCGCAGTCCCACCTGGCTGCTCCGCAAAGTGCAGCAGGAAGGCGAGTCAAGGCCCCACCCCCACCAGATCGCGACCCTCCCTAGGCTCTAGGGACAGCACCTGCCTTGTTCTGGGAGATCTAGGCCCAGAGCCGCCCCCACCAGGGCATTGCTGTGTGACCTTTAATCAGTGTCTTCCCCTCTCTGAACCTGCTACTCTCGTCTATACGAAGGAGACACTGACACAAGGGAGGCGCACAGACGAGCGACTGAAGACTTTATTCCATCCAAGACCCCTGCGCCGGGTCTCCGCCCGCCCTCCTGGGAAGGCTCAGAAGATCTTCACCAACTCCAGCTGCAGGTCCCCGCCCACCTCCAACGCGCGCACGCGCCCAGGCGGAATCCGGTACCGGAAGTGGTGGTATTCAGAGTCTGCGATCACCGCCTGCAGGGGCAAGGGGACAGGGCTTAAGGTTCCCCAGGCAACTGCTGGGTCATTCCCGCCTCTACCCACGTGGCGTGACCGTGACACTCAGGGAACCGCGTCAGGCCCCAGGGTCCCTTTGGGGAAATGGCTACTGTTCACTGTAACCCCTTGTTCTGAGGATTAATGAATTTATTGTTGACACCTGAGTGCTTTTAAGGTTTAGCTGTGGATGTGGTCGCCACATTTCACGGGTTCATTCCTCCCTCGACATGCAGATTGCACGTGAAGACTTCCTGGGAGGTAGAGGAACTGCAGCGACCACACCCTGCACTTTCCCTGTCTCCCAGTCCATCCATTCTCTTGCCCCAGAGCCGCTACTTCGGTCGCCAGTGGACAGGGAATAAGATCCAGGATGTCTACACCTCCCGGCTGGACACCCACCTTTTGGACACTTGGCTCTCCCTCTCTGGTCCTTGGCACTGCTACGCGCCTGCTCTCTGACTCTAGTGCGCTCGCGCCCGCCGGGGGAGGTAAGGGACTGGGGAGGCCCTGCCCACCTTGGCCACGCCTTTGCTCTCAACCTCTGCCAAGAGCCTTCCTGGCCTTGCCAAGGGAAGAGATGTGGGTGTCAGAGCCCGCCCCTGTGGAAGAGACGCACCTTGAAGCCGTCTTCAGTGGCGATGAGGAGCACGTCGAAGGGCTGCCCGCGCTGGAAGGGAATGCCTGAGCCCCGCTCCTCTGCGCCCCAGGTGCCGCGCTCCAGGGAGTTGAAGACCACCGTGGACTCGTCGAGGCGGGGGTTGAAATGCAGGGCAGCATCACTGCCCGGTTCCTCACTGCACAGCAGGTTCACATAGAACCTGGCAGGTGGTGGAAGAGAGGGGCGTCAGATAGAGAATTAACCCTTTGCCAGAGCATATTTAGAGGGACCTGAGAGCCACAACCAGGGAAAAAGGGGTGGTGGACTGGAGGCCATGGGGCCCAGACTGCAGGGCACCCGAAAACCAACTGGGGACCTGGACACACATCCACCTAGACCAGGGCCTGGGTCCCACTCATTTCCAGAGCCTGAGAGGACCAAGGAGTCATGGTCCTGAAGACAAGGGTGCTCCCAGTTCCCAGAGGGCTGAGAACAAGACGAGGCACCCCAGTAGTCCCAGGCACCGTAGAGTCTCAGAAATCCTGAAGATTCGACCCAGGTAGTCGTAGGATTGATTGCTTAGGCCTCCCATATGCCCAGGGCACCTCTGATTCACAGGTCATATTTCCAGAGTGGCTGTGGACTCAAACTGGAAATCATATGATTGCCCTGGAATGCCCAGATTCTTAGAATGATGTAGGGACCCCAGCTACACAGTCATGGGACAGTTAAGTGAAGACATCAGATTCCAGAAGGCCATGAAGAGCCTGAGGATTCAGATCCTGGTGGGCAAAGTTGGCCTGGGGCTTTGTTCTCTGGGCTGTAAAAGTGGGGTTCATTGAGCCTAGAAACCTCCCACCCGTTAGTGCTGAGGCTCGGGGGTCTCACCTGCCAGCCTTGTCGGGGACTAAACCACGAATTCTCAACACGGTGCCCACTCGGATGCCCTCGGGCAGCGAGGTCCTGTGGGGGACGTTCTGCAGCAGGCAGAGTGGATCAGGGAGGCAGAGGAGAGAGACAAGTGGGTCAGCTGTGGGGAGAACATGACCAGGACCCAGAGCAGCAGAATCAGAGAAGAAGGGGCCCAGAGACACGGGAAAGAGAGCCAGGGGCAGAGAGGAACACAGAGAGCCAACAGGAAGACATTCAGAGGGATGGGAAGATGGAAAGGAAGGGGAAACCAATGAGGGAGGGCTGAGAGCATGGGATGGGTTGGATGAACCCAGAAACCACAGCCAGAACATCCCAGCACCCCGGAACACCCACTTTCTCCTTGAAACAGGAGCCCTCAGCCAAGCCCCAGCCCCTCCCCTCTGCCAGCGCAGCCTTGGGTCCAACCCCCCCCAACCCGCACACCCCTGAGCACTCACGAAGCTCCCGGCCATGGCTGGAACAGCGGGACGGCAGTGGCGGTGGTGGGTATGGCTGCTGGGACCTTAAGTAAAAGCAGGGTGTGCCTGGCCCTGGTGACTCACCCTTTCCACACCCACCACCCACAGCTGGCACAGACCCTGGCCCTGAGGCCATGCGGGCCCAGCACCCTCTCTCTAGGGCCTCTGATGCCCCTGCCATCCCGAGGATTCCCAGGTGTATGGTCCTTCCCCTTTGAGCTAATAGTGATAGGAACAGTTAACAATAATCATCATAACAGCACAGCACACAGCATGGAAGGCTCATTGAGACACCATCCCTCCAGCCCTGCCTTCCTGCTGCCTGGTGGAGACAGAAGACTCTCCCATCCGTTTCATCTTGGAAAATCTGAGTCCTGAGAGGTGAAGGTGTGAGCTGAAACTCTGCAGCCTCTCTTCCAGGTTAGGACCTGCTGCCTTGGGCTAAGGATGGGTCTCCCCTGAAATTCCAGTTGATGCTTCTGTAATGTAATAATAACCACGGCAACAAGGATAATGATAGGAAAGGCAGCTATGAGGGACAGGATATTCTGCCCAGTGGTCAAAGCTGTATCCTTGGTGCCTAGTGCAGTGCCTGGCACAGAGTGAGTGCTCAGTAAATGTGGAGAAAGAAGAAAAGAACGAGAAGTGCCACTGACAAAGCCTCGGGCTTGTCTGCATGTGGGAGTGACCACTGATCTCTGACAGGCCACTGAGCGTAGGGCCACTGATCACCCTTATCTGACAGATAAGGAAACTGAGGCTCAGAAAGGAGAAGCAGTTTGCACAAGAAACACAGCTGAGCAGAACCACGTGGACCATGTGTCTGGCTTTCTTCATCTCTGGAAGTCCCTCCCTGGTTTATTCTGTCCCCAGGATGCTCTAGTGGCTCTGGCTGTCCTGTGTCTCTGTCTCCCCCTGTCTCTGACTCTCTCTCTCTGTCTCACGTGTTCCTGTCTGTTTCTCTTCTTTGAGCCTCTCTCCTTGCAGAATTGCTTCTCTCCCACCTGGTGTTCAGGACCAGGGACGGGGGCGGGGAAGAGGACCACCCAGACTCAGATCAAAGGAGATAAAAACGTGGGAACCCCAGATCCATTTCCAGTTCCCACAGCCCAAGGCTCCAGGAGGGGAATGCAGGTATGAAGGGTGGGGTGAGAAAGAGAATTCTGAAAAGGGTTTGAGGCTAGAGGCAGATGGGTCCCTCTAGGGTAAAGCAATTGGAGAGTAGTCATTCTCTATTGACCGAAACTCCAAGACGAGAATAGCAGGACAATAAAGGGAGGAAGCTGGGCTCTGCTCAGACCAGATATTTCTCCTTCCTGGTCAGGAGACCTCCCCGACCACGCATGCACAGAAAAGGGTCCTTGCAGGCCAATGGGGAAGCAATGTCAAGGGATGCTCTACCCAAATGCCTTTGTGGTAGGATCCATCTTGACCAAGAGATTTGTGCGCACACGTCGAAGGATCCTGAGATTATCAAATATGGACTGTGAACCTGGCAAATCAAAATGATTGGCCAAAGGAAAACCAGCAGAAATGCCCCATATAAGTGACTCAAAATGCAATGTGGGCGCCAATCAGGGACTTTCCCTCTGAGTCTGCCCTTGTGTCCTTCCATACATGTAGTATTCTTCCTCTTAATAAACACTTTACTTGTTTCACTACTTTCCATCTTTGTGGAAATTCTTTTCCGCAAAGTCGAAGGGCCAGGGCCCTTGTCACTGACCACTGATCTCGTGGCTAGGATCTGATGTGCTCAACTTCAGCTTCAGTCTCTGGCTGGAAACCCAAGCCCAGCTCCAAACCATTGCCACCCGAGATCAGGTTCTGGAAGGCAGGGAACAGGGGAGGTGGGGAGCTGAGCAGAAACCCCTCCTAGCAGCTTAGCAACCCACAACTCCATGTTCCTCTCCCCACCCCACCTACTCTCCCAGTTGGTACCCCACCCAGCAGAGGGAGAAGAGGCCGGGGCAGATCCAAGAAGGGAGACTTAGGGTGGAGAAAAGACAACTCAGAAGCTGGCCCACCGCCCTCAGCCTCTCAGGCCTGCCAGCCTCCCTCCAGCCCCATCACCGCACAGTTGGTACAGCTGGGGGTGGGGGGTGGCAAGCGTCTCAGGTAGGAAGGGTGGGCAGCTGCATTTAGGTGGGGGCTGCAGGCACCCCCATTTGGCAGAGAACAAAGTGGGCTTAGAGAGAGCCAGCCTTTCTCCAAGGCCTCATGGCAAAGGTAGGGCCAGCACCTGGTCTGTGTGCCAAGGACACCCCACATCGTGATTTTAATTAGAGAGAATAGTAGGGTTTGAGGTGGTAACACCAGCATCTATTCGGGTGGAGAGTTTCCTAGAATGATGGGTGCTATTACTCTGATATGTAATCGTGTCCCCTTTGTAGGCCTCCTTCCACACATTGCTGTGAATCCTGGTAGCTCATCTTCGTCCTGATTTCTTCATTGTCTCTGGCTGTTTCTTCACATGCTGCCGACCTGTACGTCCAGACTTGTTTTTGATGTTTGGTCAGATATTTGCATTCAATCTGTTATCAGTTTGATTGCTGGTTCATTTCTTTTTTTTTTTTTAGTTAATCATACATTTTATTTATTTATTTTTTTTTTCACAACCATAGTGTATCTTTTTTTTTTTTTTTTTTTTTACATGTATTCCCCATCCCGGTCCCCCCTCCCACCTCCCTCTCCACCCAATCCCTCTGGGTCTTCCCAGTGCACCAGGCCCGAGCACTTGTCTCATGCACCCAACCTGGGCTGGTGAACTGTTTCACCCTAGATAATATACGTGTTTCGATGCTGTTCTCTTGAAACATCCCACCCTCGCCTTCTCCCAGAGTCCACAAGTCTGTTCTATACATAGGAGTCTCTTTTTCTGTTTTGCACATAGGGTTATCGTTACCATCTTTCTAAATTCCATATATATGTGTTAGTATACTGTAATGGTCTTTATCTTTCTGGCTTACTTCGCTCTGTATAATGGGCTCCAGTTTCATCCATCTCATTAGAACTGATTCAAATGAATTCTTTTTAATGGCTGAGTAATATTCCATGGTGTATATGTACCACAGCTTCCTCATCCATTCGTCTGCTGATGGGCATCTAGGTTGCTTCCATGTCCTGGCTATTATAAACATAACTATTATATCTCATAACTCAGATATGGGCACCCTGGATGCATTCTTAATCATTTATGTTATCTTCTATCAGCTCTGGAATAATATACTTGGGAGCACTTTTTTTTTTTTCACTTCTAAATAAGCTGGGCTTCCCTGGTGGCTCAGATGGTAAAGCGTCTGCCTGCAATATGGCTGGCCCGGGTTCGATCACTGAGTAGGAAATGGCAATCCACTTCAGTGCTCTTGCCTGGAAAATCCCATGGACAGAGGAACCTAGTAGGCTACAGTTCTCCCAGGGGTCCAAAGAGTCAGACACAACTGAGCAACTTCACTTCACTTCAAATAAGTGGTGAACGTGCTTATTTCCCAAGACTTGTTTTTGTTTTCCCAAGCTGTATGTCACATTCATAAATTATCCAGATTTTAATAGAATACTTCCCTGAGTCTTGACAATATACAGACCTGGACAACCACCACCCCAGTGAAGGTTTAATCAAGGCAGCTTGACCCCCTTCACCTGCCCTGTGACACAGTGTCATTCCTCAGCAGTTAGGAGCCAACATGTTCATTTGCCATGAAAATAAAAGAAGGATGCCCAGTGGGCAGAGCATGCTGACTTTCCTCTCCTTCAGAAATAACTGGGGCACAAAATAAATGTTAATTGCACCCATGGTGGCCTTAGCAATTGACAGTCCCAGGCTCTGTCCAAGTCAGCTTCTTGATGACTTTAGGTCAGTCTTCATATTCAGTGAAGATAATTCAGGGGCTGCTTTGGTTTTGTAAATTAGTTTACCAATGAGGAAAGTGACATGTTTTCAAAATCTGACTTTTTCTTTTTTTAAAGCCCTGCCACGCTTGGCTTGCAAGATGTTATTCCACCACCAGAAACTGACCTCGGACCCTCGGCAGTGAAAGAACCAAGTCTTAACCACTGGACCTCCAGGGAATGCAGGGAACGCTCCCAAATCTGACCCTTAAGCAATTAAGTCCATTAAATACCTTTTAGTTTTATTTATAAAGATAGTGAGTTGTACTAATCCAATCACTTGCTAAGGAGGAGAATTTTTGGTCATAGTTGGAGGGGGAGGGAACTGAGGGGCGCTGCTCCCCTAGGACTGGATCAGCTGGGATATCAAAAGGAACCCGTGAGAAGGGTGCTCAGTAGAGGCTGACCCTCAGGATAGGAATAAAGGGAGGAGCTCCTCCTCCACCTGGGAGGAGGTGTCTGTGCCAGACGAGGGGGCGTCGGGACGAGGGTGGGGGGAGGAAATGCCCTGTGGATGTCATGGATGGAGGCAGGTACAGATTCGGACCAAAGAAATGCACCATGATGCTGAACTGGAATTGGAGGTGTCCTTTTGAACTAATGATTTCATGAGTTGGGGTTTTTTTTAAAGGGGGTTCTTTCAATTTAAAAAAAAAAAATTCTGTTAAAATAGAAAACCATGGAATGTACCTGTTTTTTTTTTTTTTTTTTTTCTGGCTGCTAGGCTTACAGGATCTTAGTTCCCCAACTAGGGATTGAACCAGCAGCCCCGGCATTGGAAGGTAAAGTCTTAACCAGGGACGTCCCTTTCAACCATTTTTTAAAAATGTATTTATTTTTAACTGAAGGATAATTGCTTTACAGTATTGTGTTGGCCTCTACCAAACATCAACATGAATCAGTCATAGGTTTACCCATGTCCCCTCCCACTTGAACCTCCCTCCCACCTCCCTCTGCATCCCACCACTCTAGGTTGTTATGAAGCCTTGGTTTGAGTTCCCTGAGTCATTAATTGTTTTTTAAATGTACAGTTGGGACTTCCCTGGTGGTCTCGCAAATAAGACTCCTCACTCCCAATGCCTGGGATGCAGGTTCCATCCCTGGTTGGG